ATCAGGAATCTGATTACCTGTCTGGGGTTAGAGTGGAAAAAGAGCTCTCTGTGCCTGCCTTATGATGTGTTTTCAAGCAATGTTTGTGGAATGAGTGTAAGTTCAGAATAGCCAAGGCACACTTCGACCCTCTACCCAAATCCCAGCCTGTCTCCCTGAGTGTCCCACTGTGACACCAGGAACCACCACCTGGTCCTAGAGATGCTTGCTCTGGGAGTGGATGGAAGCTGACACTCCTGCTTGCTCCTATCGGCCAGCTGAGGAGCTGGCTCTGCCAGTGTTGAACAGGAATCAATGGAGCTGGATGATTTAAATCTCTACTCTCCCATTTATCTGGGTAATCAAGGGCAAGTTACCTAACTTCTTTCAAATACTAGTTCTTCATCTATGATATGGGGGGCAAATAATTTCAACTCATCCTGAGGGACAACAGTGTAATTAATTACTCACTCAGCTCTTATTATTGTGTTCTGATGGGCTGGGCCTGTAAAGTACACCGGGAGCTCTTTGGTTTCTTGAGTGAAAGTATTTATATGAAGCCTACTCTTCTTAGGTTTTTGACTGGTTCACCTATCTCGCAGACCTTATTCTATTCATAGCTGACAGAAACCTCTGCTCAGAGAATCCCCCTACAAATTCTTAGGTTCTTTCCTCTCCCATTCCCCTTTTTACATGCTCCCTCTAAGAGTGCTTCCACATGTTGGGTCTTTGAAGAAAGCCATGACTTGTGGTTGGGGTTGGGAGTTTGTTCCTGAGGAAACAGTGACATTTGTGCTCTTCTTCTGAGGTAACAATTTTGGAGGAAGTGGATTTCCAACTCAGTCCCTGCCTTTCCGTCACTCCCCTACCCCACACCATCACACCATGGCTAGGAGTGAGAGATACTCTTCACTCAGGACATTATACCATATAATAGAAGATCATGTCAACACTACATGCATAGCATCATGTTTTAATAAGGTTGCTGACAAATTAAGTGTCCAAAGTATTTTTTCAGGATGATGTACAGTCTGTAAATTAATGTTCATGACACTGCATGGACTGTTGCTTCTGGGCAAGGCCAAGATGTTGAGGAGGGTTATGACTGCTATCCCCAAATCTTCAAAGAAAGATTCAGGCTGACATGTAGTAGACTTTCTCTGAATAGTTTTGGAGGACAAAGCCAGTATCAGTGAGAGGAAGTGAAGGAAAGGCAATTTCTAACCCAGAGGAATAGAGTTTCCAAAGGGAGAAATCTAAAATGGTACTGATTTCTGGGTCAGGAGCAGTACTTGTCCTCACTGTGTGAGTTACAGGAACCATTTGTCCAAGAGCTCCTAGGAGCAGACTGATTTCAGATCATTACTTGAATTAACAGCTATTTTCTACATTTGTAGCAAAATATAATTGCTTTTGTGTCCCTCTTTGCAACCAAAGAAAAAATGGTCTTTGGTTAGGTTAATCAAACTAATTCTTAGGTAAGAAACTTGCAGGGAAGGCTCCTAGTTTTCTTTTTCATATATTTAGTACAGGGTCTACAGGGTCTCACTATGCAGATTGGACTTGTAGTGATCCTCCTGTTTTCAGTCTTCCAAGCACTGGGATTACAGGCATGTGCCATCACGACCAGTCTCAATTGCCTTTTCAGCGTGACCAGGGGGCGGGGCCAGCACGGCATGCTGGGAATCAAACCCAGGTCGCTGCACTCTGCCTAAGCAGGTGCTTTAGTTGGCTGAGTTATCTGGCCAGGCCTTTGGAGGGGGTTGGGGGCTAGGGGTTGGTGACAGAGGGAGGGGGTCCTAGTTTTTGATGAGAATTTTGACTCCAAGGGGCCTTGGTCCTCCGATTCTGTGATAAATAGGATGCTGTTAGTAATTCAGTAGGAGGAAGTGCAGGGAATCAACTTTCCAGGCTGAACCCTGGGGTGGTGTCAGGTTTGGTTTAACTGATAACCGTCCCAGGAGCCACCACCAGGGCTGGCTAACACCTATTAGAATTACTGCAACAGTGGGAGAGAAGCAACTGGGAGGCAGCCATTCAGCTCACATATCAAATACCTACTGTGCATTTCAGGGACCTAGTGCATTTATAACATTGTCATAAAGTGCATTTTTCTGTATGTAAAAGAGCTGTCTACAAATCCATTTTTTTTTTTGTAAAACCAAAAACTGAAAATGGACAAAAGAAATGTACATGGAAAGGGGAATAGTATTCATTTGAAAAGGTATTCTGACCATTAATAAGAAATTTTCATTTTATTTATTCTTTTTTTTTCATTTATATATTTGGTACAGGGTCTCACTACACAGCTTCGACTGGTAGTGATCCTCCTGTTTTCAGTCTCTCCCGTGCTGGGATTATAGGTGCATGCCACCATGTGCTGACTTGGGGTCGAACCCTGGGGCAGGACCAGTATGGCATGCAGGACTGGGGGTCGAACCCTGGTCCTTGCGTTTGCAAAGCAGCACTTAGTCTGCTGAGCTGTCTCACCAGCCCAGTAATGGGCATTTTAAATGTAACCTAAATGTACCTCTGTAGTGTATGGCAAAATAAATTATTGCCCTCCAATAAAATACAGTAGAAAAGCATGAAACTTTTACTGTCACAATATTTAATGTATACTTATACAGAACAATTCCAAGATGATGGTGAGTACACAAGGCTATGCATCAAATGCTCCTATTTGTGTTAAAAAATAAAATAATAATAGAATATAGATTTATGTTTTTATTTTGGTTTATTTGACCTAAAGTAACTGCAATGCAATGTAAAAAACCAGTAGCAGGTAATAAAGTTATGTCTGTGGATGGAAGCTAGATAGGGCTGGGAGAGATTTGCTTTCTACTATTATCACTTCTACCCTTAAAACTTACTTCCAGGGGCTGGGTGTTTGGAGTCTGCCATGCCAGCCCCACTCCTGGGGCGTGCTGAGATGGTGAATGAGACTGGGCGTGGCGGAGCACGCCTGTAATCCCAGCACTTGGAGGCTCTAAACAGGAGGATCACTATGAGTCCAGTCTACATAGTGAGACACTGTAGACCTGTACTAAATACAAAAAAACAAAACAAAACAAAACAAAACAAAACAAAAACTTCTTATAAAGGTATTATCTATTCAACCAATTTAATTTAAAAAGAAAGGAAAGAAACTTAACCCAGATGCTTTTAGTTCAGTGGGCTGGGAGCTATGGGAAGAGAGGGGAGGGTTCTCTAGCATGGCCCAAAGGATTAGGAATAGTTTTCAGCAACCACCCCCACCCCAAAGGAAGACATTTTTGCTATTGGATAAAAAATAGTTGTGTATCTTCTGAGTATTGCATCAACAAACCTGTAAATTACTGGATGGTCTTGTGAATTAATTCATCAGTTGGGTTTTCCTTTTCACTTTAGCTGTTAAATATCTGCAACCTAGCCATGTGTGGTAGTGGACAGTACTATCCCAACACTTGGGAAACTGAGGCAGGAAAATCATGATTTTGAGTCCAGCCTCAGCTATATACTGAGACTTTTTCTCAAAAACCAAATAAAATAACATCTACATGCCAAACTTGTATCCCACCCAATGCAAAACAGGTAGATTTTTTAAATTTATTTTTTTTTTATTTGGTACAGAGTCTCACTATACAGCTTGGACTTGTAGTGATCCTTCTGCCTCAGCCTCCCCAGCACTGGGATTACAGGCATTCTGTGGCCCGCACAGCTCCAGTGCAGCATGTGGTATCAAAGCTGAAACTCAGGTCCTTGTGCTTGCCAGGCAGGCACTTAGACTGCTGAGCTGTCTCCCCAGCCCCCAAAGTAGGCAGATTTTGGTGGTAAGTGTATGCATTGGCCTTCTACCTGGCTCCCTTGTATATTTTTGAACTTTATTTGCCTGGCTTTTCCAGATGTTTCTAGTGTTGGTCTTTCCTTTATTCTCAGCTTCCTTGTGTGCCAGTCTACAGCCATTCTGGTATAGACTGAGTAGTATGTGACAGGAAAAAGAGAGAAAGGAGGAAATCAGAGATGGTGGTTATAAAGAAATGCAGATTGGCCTGGGGAGATAGCTCAGTAATCTAAGTGCCTGCTTGGCAAGCACAAGGACCCAAGTTCAATTCCTGGCACCACATGCCACACCAGCCCCACTCTGTGCTGGCCACTGAAACCCGATATGATGGTACATGCCTGTAATCCCAGCACCAGGGAGGCTGAGACAGAAGGACCACTGAGTCCAAGCTGCATAGCAAGACCCTATACCAAATAAATACACAAATAAATCTTAAAAAATTAATGCAGATCATTTTCTTTGGTTCCTACATGCAGATGAAGGGGATGCTGTGGTACAGGTTTTCTCAAAGCACTATCATCACTTGGGCGATTGTTAGACATACAAACCAACAGCCTTCCTCCCGACCTAGTAAGTCAAGGTCTGTGAATGAAGCCCAGAAAATTATTTTACATTTTTCAGGTGACTTTAACACACATTCAAGTTTGAAAATCATTGGGAACAAAGTAAGGGTTGGCTTCTAAACAAAAACATCTTCCATAGGCTGTACCATACTCAAAAAAAATTCAAAAAGTAAATAATCTCCACAATCTCATTACCTGATGCAATAAATGTTTATTTTTTTTACTGAGAGCACAGGTCAGTTTGGAGCAGTTGTGGGGAAAGAGCTGTTTCATTCAGCAAAGCCCCTGCCGTTGTGAAGCTTTGCCATCTCCTAGACCTTTGGGCTTTTTCCCTGCATCCCCTGCATCTTAGTGGCTGTGGATGGAAGTAAAATCCATCATTTCTACCTGGTTTCATTGGTCAGAACCCAGTCACGCACCTTGCCTACCTGCAGGGGAAGCTGGGAAATACAGCTTCTCTGTGGAGCCGAAAGGAAAAGAACCGGCTTTGGCAAGCACGTAGCATTGTCTGTCGCTGCCACACCTGGGAAACCAAGCGAATCCCGAACTCCACCTCAAGTTCATACTTTGGTGAACTCTGATCTGCAATTTCACTTTCTAACCAATTTTTATCTTTTCTTTTTTCTTGACTCTAGCACCATGGGACCGGTTATCATTCTCATTTTGATGTCTGTGCTGTACTCTGGTAAGAAACTTTTCTTCTCTGGGTAAAGTCACAAAACCCTTCCACTGCCACCCAATAGGTCTAACCACTGCAAATCCATCTGGGGACGTGATGGGTTTTTCTCACCTGTGACTTACCTTGTATAATACTGTGCGCCGAGGCTTTCCTGGAGAAGGTTCTGCTCTCATGACTAAGGCCAAGTCTCGGGTGATAGTGGGCAGGCCTCACCAGGGAAGGAGCCCTCCCCCATTGTGTCCTCCCCCTGCCACCTCACCCGCAAGGGTCCTGGATGCACAAAATAGGGTGGACTGGCCCATGCAGTGGCTCCCAGCTGGGAGCGCACGTGTGTTTCCTCTTTTGCCCCCCACATAACCTCTCTGGTCTTCTCTGTCCCCATTTCTGGAGTTCCCAGCCCTCAGGAAACAGCTAATGGGCTTCCAAAAGCTTTCTTCTGTTAGAGCGCTTGCTTCTGCCTTCCCTCTCCCAGGCCCACTGTCCAGTACCCACAGATCATAGTCGCTGCTCCATAGCAACTGCTGCCCTTTAGCTAATCATGGCCGCTGGCTTACCACAAGGCTAATGAAGCTGACATTTCAGGGTTCTCCACTAGCACAAGTCCTTTCCAAATCCCCCTAAGAGCCCACAGAGGGCCGGCCTGAGCAGCGCATTCCTGTACATTATGATTTGAGAAGATCTGAATAAGTGAGCTGTGTTAACCTCAATGAAGCAAGGCCACTGCCTTTGTTCCACTGTAGTTCCTCCCTCTGTCACCTTCTGCAGTCTGCTGACATTGTAGTGATCACGAGTACTTTTCATTTGAATTGGGCAATCTTTTCCATACTGATCCCTCCACCCAAATGTTTTCAGAAGTATCAGACTGCACAAAACTTAGATGTTCCCTGTTTGCTGCTTTCTTTTGAGTTTCAGTTTCTTCATCTTTAAGCGCCGGTTTGCTGAGGCCAGCCACGTGTCCTGTGGCTCTGTGCCTTGGAGTTTCTCCTGGCCCACCCCTTCCTGATCGCATTTCTTTCCATCCATAGCACTGGGGTTGAAGCCATCCCAGCATGCTGTGAGGCACATCAGAGGCCAGCTAAGGCTGTGGCTTGGCTAGAGCACGTGCAAGGCACCCTGTCTCACTGGCTCCTGGTACCCAGACCCACCATGAAGTCCCCCGCTCCATGCCTTTCAATTACAGGCTCTTGGCCTGTCCATGCTCCATGGGTGATGAGGAAGAGGTGGACTAGTATGGAGAGATGCACCTCAGCTGACTGCTGAGGAGGGGGACAAGCTTTTTGTGATTTCTGCGTTCTGCTCAGCTCAGGGTTTTCTGAGTCTGAGTACATGGTACACAGATGTGCTAAGCGATCACATCACCTGACTAGGTATAGCAGCAGCGTACGCCTCCCAGGGCCAGTGACCTGCTACCACAGCTCTTGGAGGTGTGCTGGGAATATGATGTGTATGTTTGTGTGTGTGTGTGTGTGTGTGTGTCTGTCTGTCTGTCTGTCTGTCTGTCTGTCTGTCTTTGTGCCTTTTACTGTTCTAAACATTTTATAAATATTAACTCATTTAAGTATCACAGTAACTTTCTGCTTTAGATCTTATGATTAGTGCTTCTTTGAAGATAAGAACACTAACACAGAGCGAGGTTAAATAACTTACTCAAGATCAGCAAAGCTAAGATTGATAGCCCAAATCGTTTGATAATAACAATAAGCTATTCTTCTGGATGGTTAACAACCTAAGTTTGCAGACCAAATTAGAGAAAAAGGA